TTCAACGTTATATATATGTATATATACTAGTATATGTATATGCCACAAAGTTCGTCTCCTCGTAAATGAGTTTGGGTAAAGTATTCATAGTTCCCAGTTGTTTCTTTCTCCGGAGCTAATGACGCGTCACTCGGACCGGATTACTTTAATGTCATATAAAAGTTACTCGTGATATTTAAAGATCGTTATTAAAGGAAACTAAACTCTATCCTTATAATGATACACCTTAATTTACAATGTGTGGATCTGCTTTGTTTTATGTCACGCATTGTGATCATAACACATGTATTCGGCTGGATTTAGTACAAAATATATTTTTTTATTAAAAGTACAGTCAATGAAAGGGTAATAAAGTGAAACCTTTAACTGTTGGTATTTTATAAGGTTCATGAGGTTCCTAGACAAATAGAACCTCGAGGCGTTCATATTACAATCATTATAAACGAACCCTATTTGTGTAAGAATAAAGGCACCAAAGAAAGGTTGTGAAGGAAATTAAAATATAATAAATGATCATCGGCTCATTCGACGGAGGCCGCGGGGCGTCGGGCGGAGCCGCGGGGCGCCGCTAGTCACAGCCATTGTTGTGAACAAAGACGCTTTATATAAAAAATAACTTCACTTTGAATTATGATGTTTTTATAATCAATGTGTTCCAAAACAACAAGCCTCGTGGAGCTGTTGTGTTGTCGAGGAGACCAAAGATTAATGGACACGGAGACGGTCGGGGAACAGACACCAGGCATGATTATGGTTCACTTAAAATAAATGTAAAAATTAAAGTCAGTCTCACTAACATGAACAAACTTAACATCTGAATCATTTAAGTCCAACAGATCATAATGTAATTGAAAAGATATAACAACAGTTTGGAATAAAGTTTATTAAAGTGTTAAATATAATAATGTATAAAGTGTTGTATTCATTATAACGCTTCCATTAATTAATTCAAACTACCAGTCAACATTTAACGTGACACTCATTTATAATAATTAAGACAATTTTTCTAAGACACTCAAACTCCGCTCGTCTATTTAATTGCGACATAATTTCTCACAGAACTTCCTAATTAAACATCACAATATTAAAAAAAGTGTAGCGACGCGACGTCTACATTAAAATTCTTTTCATAATGAAATGAGTTAAATTATTATTAATAAAAAACTCAAGAACCAACAGACGGAAAATTTGGTGACAAATCCTTTTCATCTTTATCATTTAATCTACGTGTTGTAATTAACTGGGCGAGTTACAAACAACAACACAGACACACACACAGATATATATTATATATTTATATTATTATTATTCAAATATTATCATCCCTACTAATATTATAAATGCGAAAGTAACTCTGTCTGTCTGTCTGTCTGTCTGTCTGTCTGTCTGTCTGTTACTCTTTCACGCCTAAACCACTGAACTGATTTTAATGAAATTTGGTACTGAGATAGAGTTGACCTTGAGAAAGAACATAGGATAGTTTTTATCCCAGACTTTTGAAACGTTCTCTTGGAAACGCGATATAACCGAACTCCACGCGGGCGAAGCTGCGGGCGGAAAGCTAGTATGTTTTATAACTCGCGAGTCTCCGTAGAGGCTACGTAGAGACCTCGTAGAGACCGCGTAGACCCTCTACGAGAATTATCCCGCGCATACAATATATTGTTACATTTAATAAAGTTTTAACTTAGCTTTATCACGCGGGTTTACATCATGTACTGTCACATTAATTATTAACTTTAATTGTACTAGTAAAATAAGAAAATGGTTATTAGGCTCATTTCAAATGTAATTGTTTCATAGAAAGTATTAATATATTTTTATATTAATTTCATTTTTTACTGGATCTAAAAGGAATAATTCAATAATTTTGACGACGATTTTTGTAATTTTATTTATTTTACTTACTTATTTACTTACTTTTGTTCCGCTTCTTCGATTTATATATTGTTATTATGTTTTTAAGTTTGCCAAGTACATGCATATGTTTTGCCAACACGAGCGCTATCTGGTAACAGAATGTAACATTATGTTTGTTACGTATCAAAATGATTTATAAACACATTCTGTAAAGTGTCACCGATATAAAGTGTTTGAGGTTTCAGTCATATGACATAAATTAATTCAAGTATATTTATATTTAATAAATTGATTATGTACTAATTAGTATTTTCCAATAGCTTTTTTTGATAGGTTTCAAATGAGTAGACGGCCTATTTGATGGGCAGTAGTGACCGTCGCCCATGGACATCCGTAACAGAGTTGATGCGGATGCGTTGCCAACCTTAATTGTTGAGGAAAAGGGAAAGGCCAACCGGCTCTCTCACTCATCAGACGAAACGCATGCATTAAAGGCTACTTCACGCCGATCTTCTGTGAGAGGGTGGTACTTACTGCAGTGACTGACCTATTATTTATATATTTTGTTGCTTGTAGATTGTAACAGAAAGAATTTTGTTTAACTTTTATAAATCTAGATTAAGAGACGAGAAAAAGTGTGAAGACATTTAAATATTTTATACAAAAATACAACAAATATCTTTTTTTTTTTTTTTTTTTTTTTTTTTTTTTTTTTTTTTTTTTTTTTTTTTTTTTTTTTTTTTACCCGGGGGAATGTGCTCTACACATACCCGACCTAGCGGGGACTGGGTCGGGTTATGTGGGGATGGTAGTCCAACCCTGAAGGGGGAGGACAGACGCCCCTGAAGGGGACGCCCCGACCCACTAAACCTAAACCGGGGTGTTCCACTCCTTTCCACTGAGGCGTCACGGGTTCGCTATAGCGCACCGCAACGCAATGGCTGTCAGATGTCCTGACTCACTTCAAAATATGAGAGGCGCGCATCACCTTAACCCTCTAATATGGGCGACGGAAATCCCCGTCCGCCACCCATAGTCTCCTTCCAGCGCGCGACGATGTTGCTACGTGAGGACCAGAGCCGCCACGTAGGCTCGACGCCGTCGACCACCTCTCCCACGACGCATGGGGAGGGATGCGATGCTTCGCTCCCTCTCCCTCTCTGCCTCTTCTTTAGCCGACATCACTGTCTTGGCAAAGAGTTCAACGGCCTGCCAGGCCTCTTCCCTCGTTATCATGGCGCTAACCAGGACCGGTAACGAGAGGTCCGGTCCTATGGTAGCCACCAGAGCGCCTCGAAAATTGTTCCAGGCGGGACATACGGCACGGGTGTGCTGTGCCGTATCCTCCTCTTCTCCACAATGATGGCACGTTGGAAAGGGTTCCTTGCGCACCACTCGACACAAATACCGACCAAAACATCCATGTCCGGTCAGCAGTTGCGCCAAGTGGAATGTCATGGAACCGAATTTCCTATCCACCCACTGCTTAAGGTGGGGAAGGACGGCCCACACCAAATCCCGCCCATATCCCGGGTCACGTAGGCGCATTGCCCACTCCTCCAACACTTCAGCGTGCGCCTCCGCTCTCCATTTCTTTATTTCATCTTGATGGGGATAACCGTTGTCCTCCTGCCAAGCGAGAGTGCGTCGCTTCCATATCGCTGCGAGGGCTTCAGCTTCGAGATCCCACGGCGGAGTCCCTGCGAGAATGCATGCACCGTCATATGAAACAGTACGGTACGCCCGGGCCACCCTAAGCGCCATGGTTCGCTGTGGTCGGCGCAGCAAAGCCACAACGCGACGGCTTAGAGTGCCCGCCCATATGGGCGCACCGTACAACGCCATGGATTTAATGACACCAGTGTAGAGCCGTCGACAAGCGTCATTTGGGGCCCCGGATGTTTGGGAGGATCTGCCCTAGAGCTCCGGCTGCAGCCACTAATCTTGTTGCCAAGCGCCGGAAGTGCTCCTCGAACTTCCACCTGCTGTCGAGGACAAGTCCAAGATATTTTATCTCGGAACCGACAGTAATGGAGGTTCCACCAACCACAATGTGACTTCCCGCAGGAGGCTTATTACGGGGCCCGTGGAAAGCCATAGCCTCAGATTTATGCAGAGCCACTTCGAGACCTATCGCCCTAATCCTTGCAACTACCTGGTCTACGCCTGCCTTGGTAAGAATGGCCGCCTCTCGGTGATTGGGGCCACGGGCTGTCACCAAAGTGTCATCTGCGTAACAAGTCACGCTGACACCTTGGAGGTAGGCACCGCGCAGCACCCAATCATACCCGATATTCCATAAAAGGGGACCAAGGACAGACCCCTGTGGAACACCGCAAGACATCACTTGCTCTCTCCAAGACCCGTCACGCACTGGGAATGCGATCCGGCGACCAGCGAAATAGTCCGTCACTAACTTCTGCAGATAGAGGGGCACTGCATGGTATCGCAGAGCCTCCCTGACAGTTTCCCACGGCAGGGTGTTGAAGGCATTGGAAATATCCAGCGAAACCGCCCATAACACCCCGCCTCGAGAGACTTCGCGGTCCGCCAACTCTTTTACGCGCCCTATTGCACCGATTGTGGATTTTCCTCTCCGAAACCCATATTGGGTTTCATGCAGTCCCGGTTGCAGACACTCTGACAGCCGGTCGGCGACCACTCGTTCGAAGAGCTTGCCAATCTCGCTCAGCAACACAATCGGACGGTATGCCGACGGCTCCTCTGGCGGACGTCCGTCTTTCCTCAACAACACCAACTTCCCCATTTTCCACTGACGAGGAAAGCGACCTTGTGACAGGCACAGAGAGAACAGGTCTTTCGCCCAATCTGTCATGGGTCCAAGAGCAGCCACAACAGTTCGGCTAGGGATACCGTCCAAACCCGGAGCAGTGTTCTTCGACTTCAGTTTTCTAAGAGCCACCACAAGCTCAGCGGTTGTCACCGGCAGCACTGTTTCCAGTTCGAATATATCGGAATGGGCAGACACCATAGTTGGCGGTGTCCATTCCCTTCTTTGTGGAAAGAGGGTCTGCACCACACGATCCACGAACTGTGGTTCTAGACTCGTGGTGATGGGCGGCGCCCAGGGTCGAAGTTTGGCTCTGACGACTCTGTACGGTCTACCCCATGGATCCCTGTTAATAGAGTCTAGCCACTCTCTCCAGCAAGTGGTTTTGGCGTCGCATATGGCCACTTGCAGGTCCCGGCACGTTTGCCGGTATGACTCGTAAAGCGATGTCTCTTCCTCGGGGTCCCTTATCCTTCTTCTTCTCGCACGGGTGTATCGTCGACGAGCAGAAGAAACGGCTCGGCGCCATTCGTACAACTCCTCCCTCCACCAGTATACACGGCGCCTGATACAACAAATATCTCATCAACCTTTTAAAATGAAAACAAATATTCTGTTTGATATAATTGAAACATGAGTCAGGTAAATGAAGTTACAATACGCTGAAGGATTATAATAATGAATTACAATCGATTGGCTTAGAGGAGATTATCGGCGAGCCTTCCTGTGGAACCTTACAGACTCCTCACGAACCTTCACTTGATACACTTCAACATACTACACATGTATTAAGAATTAGGTTAGTGAAGACGATCATTTTACTATTAATCTCTTAATAATAATGAAATATTTAATATATTCATAAAATTCAAGATTTTTAATTTTTTTGATATTTTTTGGCCCTTTAAATTGTTGTTTAGGTAATTGAGAAGATATATGACTTACAATAAAGGTATTATTGTTCAGTAACAGTGTCAGTACTTCATCCTCGCCCCGAGCCTCGTGTGAACCGAGCCTAATGAGGAGGTCAAACTTACTGAATATTGTATTACACTGTAACAATATTTTAAATGTTTTTTTGTTGAAACTTCACCGGTTTCGATGAATAAAGCTGTGGTTATAACGTATCTCCTATTTCTATGTTAAATTATTTTATGTTTTGCTCGAGCCATGAGAAAAATCATTCTCGATACAAAAATCAAATAAATGTCGTATTAAATAGCAGTTATTATTAATAAGTGTAATGACTATAAATTATTGAATATTAAACATATCATTTATAATAAATATAACAAGTAGGACTAGAGTTATATATAGTTGTATTAACTACATAGTATCTGTAGTTCAAAAACATTTAAAATAATTACAAGTTAGAAAACATTATATTTATGGACAAATTTTAATAAGTAAAATGATATTTCATCAAACATAGCATCCTTATAAAACATTATATTATCTTGTTCAGTACTAGTAGGTGGCGTGTTTTAGTTGTATATAAACAGTGTATTTTTACGCGTGGAACGTGCACCATCATAACTCGACTCTCCTTAATATATTCCTTATATGTAGAACATATTTTGGTCCACATTTAATTATATTTGACAAACTTTTTAAAGAAGATTAGAAGTTACAAACATAGAGAAAAGTAGAAATATTTATATTCAAAAATAAATCTTTTAAGTCCTAGTTTTGGGATAATTTTCTTTAACTTTTTTTATTATTACACAGTTACACATATTAAGTTGCTTTTAACTATTTTTTATTCTTGACTTTTAGAAGTGAACATTTATTAATTGACACTTAATATAATTTCTTTAACTTTGAATTCCACAAATTAAACCAATCTTTAACTCTGATCTTGGACAAGATGTATGGATTGCACTCGGATAACTCAAAAGTGTCATATAAAAACGTAATGTCTCAGTGACGTCATTATTTTTCAACTCGTAAAAGTATACCACTAATGCTTTTTAAGAATTTAATAAGATATATGTAAATGTAACGTTAGGTAATAAATATGTAACAAGGTTATTAAAGGCCAAAGAGTCAAAGATCCAGAATATTAATAAATATAATAAAAAAAATCCATGATACTTCTAATAAAAAATATATTTATCGCCCACGAGAAATAGACGGTGTTAAAGAATGTAAAAGATTGTTACGAGTTTTTAGATATAGTTGTAGAAACAAAAAACTTCTGTGAACATATTATAAACAAAAGAACTTTATTAGTTATATTTCAATGAATACTCTTGAAGTCTTAGATGTTATTATTATAAACAACTTAAGAAATGTGTAAGAAAATATTAATGAACTCTGCTCTGGTTGTTGTATTTTTTAGAGAACGTTTTCTGGAAGTCACATACTGACTATCACATGCTGGATTTGACAAAAACCCTCAGTACTGAATCGATCTGTGAAACAGATTTTACACGAGAAATTATTCTCAAAATGTACTAAGAGGCAAGTGGAATCCTATACTAACTATCTTTTTGAGTAAGCATCGTGTATGCAATGCCACAACTTTTTAGCTAATTAATGAAATTAATGAATTGAAATTGAATGAACACGATAAAGATTATCGTGTCATCTGCCAATCCTCGGGAATTTATTTTTTATTTCTTGTTCATGTTTTACGTGCGCAGACGCTCCATAAATGCACAATTTCGATAGCAGCTCCTCATCTCAAAAATTAAACTAAATGAAATTGAATTAAAATAAAATAAACTAATATTTTCGGAGATAGTAGTCCTTACTTATTATTTAACAACTATATATATACTCCGGTCGTTTCATCTCACGTGTCCGTGATCACAGTTTCTATAAAGGAAACAAAACGATGGGATTATATAGTTCATAAAATAAAAAAGCATATTATCCTAAAATTTAAGCTTTATTCAAATGAGAACAAAACTAAATGTTAGATTTCATAATTGAATGTAAACTTTATATTATAACATTGACTTGTTTATTCCAACTTTTTTTTTATTTCTACTTTACAATATTTTTGTAAAGTGTAATCTTATTTTGGTCCTATTTCATATCTCATACTCGTATGTGTGTATCGTTCACAAATATACTTTCAATTATAATAATATTAAGTATCGAACAAAACGGTCTTTATCAATCAATCAATATTTCTGCTTCAAGTGAATAAATGAAGTAACATATGTATTGCAATACTATAATAAAATAAAATTTTAATAGTTCTTTTTTGTGACGTGAAACCATATTTTAGTTGTACGTGAAAGTAAAACATGCATTTAGTTATAACGCTTAAAAATCTGTCTGGACGCCATTACAGAATATAAAGTTGTAAAGAACTTTGAAAGGATGTGCTTTTGTTTCACTGGAGAAAGAATTTTAAGACTTGAGTATTTATTAAATTAGTCTTTATCGATCTCATATCACTATCTCCAGTGGAATAAAATTTTATGGTAATTGATTTTGATGTTTTTTAAGTAAATAGTCGAACATACAAAGATGCAATCATAACAATAAACAAAGAGTTAAAACTTTTAAATAAGTCATTTTGTGTGCTTGTATTCGTTTCGTTTTCTTTGTTCAGATATTTACAATATTCAAGTAGACAAAAATAAAGTCAAGGCGGACTAACTATCGTTTCTTTAAACGCTTCGTAATTTTTATAAATTTTCGTTAAACTGTTTAACAAGTCAACTTATCAAATTGTCTAAAAAATGTTAGGTCTCATTAGAAATTTAGTGGCAAGTAGTGCAACACACTGGCTATGTTACGATGAACCAAGTATGAATATAAAATAGAATTTAAACATTATAAAATAAACACGGGCACCTCAGCCTCGCAGGGACATTACAACAAAATATAAAATAGCCTATGATGCGTATAATGCCCTTGCCGGCGATCCGCCTTGGGATCTCGTGGCGTCGGTTCGAGCGGAGTTGTTCTCCTATGTCTCGGGTAGGAGGGCACTCGGCGAGAACCCTTCGTCGGAGGAGATCCGAGCGGTTCGTCCGCAGGGGGAGGAGCGCCTTATGCGGGAGTGGGGGGAGGACCTGGCGGAGCAGCCGTACGGTAGACGTACAACGGCAGCGCTTCGCCCGGTCCTAGAGCGTTGGATGAGGCGGAAACGCAAACCCCTCACTTTCCGTCTGACGCAGGTCTTAACCGGGCACGGGTGCTTTGGTTACTACCTGTGTCGGACGGCCAGGAGAGAGCCGGGAGAAGGCTGCCATGAGTGCGGCGCTGCGGTGGACTCGGCCCAGCACACCCTCGAGGTGTGCCCGAGATGGGCTGCGCAGCGCCAAGACCTTGTGGCGGCTCTCGGCGGAGTGGACCTGTCGCTTTCGAGTGTCGTGGAGAAGATGCTCGAGAGTGATGGGTCCTGGTTGGCGGTGTCCTCCTTCTGTGAGACGGTCATGTCCACGAAGGAGACATCTCAGCGGGAAAGGGAGAGGGCGGCTGATGCTCCCTCCCCCCGCAGGCGACGTACGGGGGTGCGACGGAGGCAATTCCTACGCCTCCAATAGCACCCCTGTGTTCCGGGCTGGGGTCGGCGTGGTAACCCGGCCCTTTTGAAAGCCCGGCGTCGTCGGGGCGGTCCTAATTGCCGGGATCGCCCCCATGCTCTGAGGGAGTAAGTCCGGTCTTTGCCAGGACCGGCCAGTCGCTGGTGTGCCCTGTCGCTGACAAATCCGGGGTACACCGACATAGCGGCCGATGGCTTTCGCAGTGGTTTTAGTGAGTAGGGGCCTGCCCAGGCCGAGCCTCACACATCCCTTTCGGCCCCACCAAGGCCGGTTGGACGGCTCGTAAAAAGAGTTTCCACTACGTCAACAAAAAAAAAAAAAAAAAATGATGCGTATAATGCCTTGAGTATGTACTTACTATTTGAGTTGTGTTTGAACTTATAAAAACAGTTTATAAATAATATTTTTATGTTAATAATAGTTTTTTAATACAATAAAATATCAAAAATTATGTATACAACATTAATGACGTGATCATGTGAAAAAGTGAGTTCTCGCTTGGATTTAATTTTGAGAGTTATTAAACTTGTGATAACTTTCAAACGGTGCGTCCGAATTAAATAAACCAAAAAAGTTACTTATACATAGATACTGATGTAAGCTGTATTGTGAAGTAATTTATTTTGATAAGACTTTATACCGTAATAATGTAAATAGCTTTCCTATAAATGCTTCATGGATGCTCATTTTTAAAAGTAGTAAAATGGATATAGTATGTTATCCTTAAGAGATAGACATGTAGCGCTAAAGACATATGTCACTGTAGACCTACATATATGAAATACATAATTCCTCCATACACGGTGTCGTTATATCTCTAAAGGTTTTGGCAGCGTTTTGCGTTAAAAGCTGACAGACGGCTCATTTTTCTGAACATCTTCAACAAATATCGTTAATGTAGACAAATCAATACAAAACCTTATCAAATTATATATAAAACCTTCCTCGAGTACCACGATATAGAATAGTGAAATCTGCTTGATAATTGGTGAAGTAGTTTTTCTGTTTATTACAAACAGACAGACAGATGTAACGGGTGATTTTGTTGTATAATATG